AAAAAGCTCAATGAACGAAAAGATTTCAATCATTCGTTGAAATTGCAACGCAAAAACAAAATAATTGATTTTGTCATCTTTCATAAGTGACATTTCAAAAAAAAAAAAGAAAAAAAAAAATACAAAGAAAAAAATCACAAATTCAAAACAAAAACAACGCTTGACATTTGTTGATATCTTTTATTCAACATTCATTTAAATGAAATGCTTTTTTTTTTTTTTTTTTGTTGTATTTTATTAGTACAAAATGAGTAATTACTTCATTGTCTGCTCGAAATATTTCAAACAATTATTTCAGGTCTTTTTCAAAAATATTTTTTTTAACATCCCAGATGTTAAAGTTGATATTTTGCAGGGTAACATTGCTTAAGCAAACAAAATTCACCTCTATCTAGTTAAATCAATTAGTAGATAATAAAGAAAGTAAGAGGAAAATTCATAGTATGTTAATATTATGATATTGAAGCGGATACGTTTTAATAATATCTCAAATTTTGTAAAAACTTAAAATTTAATTAATCGTTAATATTTGAAGTTACAAATTGTCTCTTTAATTTGCAGGATTAATTGGAAAATCAATTCCTTTTTTCTCCATAAAATTTTTAGTTATTTCGATCCAGAAATTGCAGATAATGCATAATTTGAAAATGATATAATCATTTATAAAACTTGATCTTTTTCGATGATCGGAGAAGATTGCTTCCATTCTTTTCATATTTTCATTCCTTTTCTTTCCGCACTTCATTCTTACCAGAATTTTTAACATCTTTGGCAATTCTATTCATTTTAACGCAAATATTCTAAATCGAAAAACCTAATTAGTAATCGTAATTAATATTAATCATGCCTAGTAATACAGTCGCCTTGTTAATTTATCAATACACTCCATTTCCAATCTTCATCTCCTCGAATTTTCATTTAAAAAAAAATTGATTTCGTGTCAAAACATGTGTAATTTCATTTCGCTTCATTTTCACTAACTCTGTGCTGTTGTTTTTGTGAAATGTAATTTTTGTGAATTCATAAATCCAACATACTTTTTAACTTTTAAACGTTAAGTTTGTTTTTCAAATTAAAAATGAAAAGAAGGATTAGCTGAAGATGTTTCAGTGTATGCAAAAAAGACTTTAATATCAACAATTGCAAATATCTAGGACATTTTTAATTTAATCCTGATATTCACTCAATAAACTTTTTAATCCTGTAGTTGGCGAACGATATGTACGACGATTGCTAGGTGACTCAAAATTACGAGGCTTATGAGCACGATTCAATAATTAATGCTATTTGACAGGGACGTTTCAAGAAAGTGAAAAGTAGGCGCTGATGTCGCATCCTATCGTTTTTCAATCCAATATTTTTCACTTTCAGTTCGGAACTTGGTAAAATATCTCCTTACTTACATTATTTCTGAACAAAAACCATTCATCCCCATACCCTAATTAATTCAAATCGGAGAAACAATTCCTTTCATTAACTTTTTGTCCTTTTCAAATCATTAACTCGCTGCAGTCTGAATTCATTATGACTTATTGATTCATTTTATTATTATTTTGCTAAACATGATAATTGTTAGTCTTGCTTTGAAATTATTAAATCGTAAAAAAAAAAAACAAATCTCAGACAATCAGCAGTTCTCCATTTCGTCCGAATGCAAATTAGTATGAAATTGAATATGCTTACTGATGAGAAGATAGCAGTGATAATTAAAAATCCTCGCCAAGACAGCTAACTAATCGTCGCTTCCTTTTGATTACAATCATTTTTTAATTCCTTTATCCCCCATTTTACATATGTTGAAATGATTAATGTACATCGCTATTATAATTTCCACAGTTTCATTTTATGTCATTATGATTGTTCCTGCAATAATCATAATGAAAAACTATGACAATTTTATCATTTACATCATTAGCCTAAACAACGTTATGATATTTCATTGTACAAATAGTTAAAGAAAATTAACAAAAACAAATGATCGAATGGTCAAAAAACGATACAGAATTTATGCTTAGAGATCGAATAAATACAAATTATCATCTTTATTAAGCTCTAAAAAATATACCTGACCAAGCAATACCAGTAAACTTACCAACAATTATAAAACAACTAACACGGCTGAATTCATAATTACTCTGATTTGTCAAATTAGCATATTACTCAGTGTTCCTAAGCATTAAGCGCTCTTGTTCTTTAACGTATCAGAGTAAGCTTCTTTAGCGTAATAGAAATTTACTAAAGTAAGCTCACTACCAAGAGTTGTCAGTTTTTCAATAATTTCGACCATTAACATACAGTAATGCCTTCTCATTTAGTTTCACGCTTCGAAGCAAACCCAAATATGCATTGAAATTAACTCGTTTTCAGTTTCGCAATACGACAAAGTATCAAGTTTGGATTTCATTCGTCAATCTTCAAATTTTAAAAGCAGTACCCACCGAACCTCACTGAATACCACTCGATGCATTCTCTTCCGAAAATTACTATCCATTAAGAGCCTCATGCAGTAAGTAAAAAAATGACGAAATATAACCCATCATCTTATATCACATTACTCCTTTTCAAAGAGCGGTCAACATCGCCAAACAGCACTGCGTACGCAAATATTTAAAGTTCCAAAAACCACGTTAAATCTTCATTTAGTAAAAAGTATAAAACGGAACAGTTTAAAACTTACAAAAATTATCAATATCTCTTGTTCAGATAAAAGCTAATTACTTGTTGTCAATAAAGAAATCAATTTTTAATTGATATAAAAACAATCGTAAACACAAATACCCGTCTTGGAATGCACTGCTATGTTAACGTACAAGTTTGGACAAATGTGAAGCATTACTATAGATAAACAACAATCACATTTCGGAAATAGGTAAATTTATTTACGAATGATTACCCCCTTTACCTTTCACGCACTCCCTCACAAATGTCATGTAATTTAGTTGGATTTACGAGAAGTTTTAGGGACAATGTTGAAGTAAGACATGTTGTAGGGTATAGGAAATCGAATTATGCCTTATTGCAAATTAGAACCACCTAAAAATGGTTATTTCCACCAAGACATAGGTCGTATTGTTCCTGTCGGGAAATAGTTGTTACTTAAGAGGGAACTGTGAAAAGGTTGCACAGTTACGAAAAGAATTCAAAGAAAGTAAACAGTAATAAGGTTCTCTCAACCCCACGCAATAATTCGATATTTTCTAAGCAAGTATACTCATACAGAAAATCATTTACAGCTACCTTCATTCGCCAAAAACAAAAACTAGATCTAACAAAAGACCTACTTCTTCTTTTTCTGCAAATATGCGTCATAACGCGCATAAGCGAAACTGAGCATTTGTCGACAGTGTGCAAGCTGAAAATAAAGTCATTCAAAAATACAATAAACTGTGATAAGATACCATTCAATATAGCAGTCCAAAGGTTACAATAGAGCATAATTACATTGAGCATAAAGTAGGTAAAGGTTAAAACTTGGAAGTTGGCATGCTAAATTTTCTGTTAAATTTCAAAATAAAACAAAAGCAAGGAATTTAGAACGCAACAAACATCTGCATGAATTATACAAACGTTTGGTCGTGTTGAAATTACCTGTCCTTTATTTTGTATTTTGGTATTTTGGGACGAATTTTATCAAAAGTTTAGTTTGGAACAAAATATTGGTGGAAGCCAAATTTATCATAACAATGTTTGTATGTTTGTTTACACTTGGAGCCAATCTAATTTAATTAGTCTTGTCTAATTTCATTAATATCCTTGCATTGAGGACATATCTGCAGAACATGAAATACTATCATATACTAAAAAAAGTGACCATAACTCATTAGAATAAAATAACGAAATAAGATTTTCAATATTTCTCATTTTATTATTTTCGGAATGGTGTACTATACCGGCGATTCAATGCTTATAATTTAATGAAGGAATCATCAAACTTCAAACTTCAAACGAAGTATTTAATTTGGAATAATGCAAAGGCACCAAAATGGTCTTTTAAGAGGTTTCTGAGCATTACCAATACTGTCAACTACCAAAATACAATAGATATTGATACCTTTAATGCAACAAGTTTTATAGGGTGCAACTTGTCGCTGGACATGATTATCTTCAGATTATCTTCAGAATTATCTTCAATTATCTTCAGAAGAAAATTTACAATGTCAATTGTTTGAATCCATTAAGATAAAAGGCTCCAATTTGATAAAATCATAAATAATTTGATCTGTCTTTAAGATTTCATTAATGCATTTTAACACCAACAATCATAGTTCACTCACATTTTTTTTCCCAAATCGTTCCTCTGCTGAAGCAATTTTAGTTTCTTCAAAATTCCGCAAAGTTATATTCATCCTTTTTAACTGAAAGTATATTTAGACATTATAACGGTTTTTTGATTACGACAAATGAATACTCCAAAAAGTAAATAGAAAAAACTGCAAAATAAGCTAACTTTTTCATCCATATCAGGATTCATCGGCGGAAAACACATCCAGAAATGCTTCAATAGCTCGGCAACAGAATCATGGATTGCTTGTAGGTCAACCAAATCTGTTGCAGTCAACTCTGATGTAATGTTCTTACCTGATGCTTCCGTGACAGCAGTGGCTAATCTTAAGAGATCTTCATAATCACTATCCGAATCGTCCTCTAAATCCTGCAATCGTTTTCTGCAAATAAAACGAAACTGAGAAAGACCAATTTAAGTGAAATAAGCGTCTTCGATAAACGCGAAAAGTCAGAATGTCAATAATGAGGGATTTAAAGAATTCGGAACAACTCCAAACTAGTTTTTACAACTCACGTCATCATAATCATCGTTCTCTGGCATAGCTTCGCATACCCTTTGCACAATATCCCGATAAGCTCGTGCTTGTCCATCAGTATAATGCTTTGCTGGTCTGACTACACCACCCACTGCGAATGAAATAAGGTCTAATTCCTCCTCATGCTTATCTGATCTCAACTCCTCACTTTCTAACATTATTTCATTTTCATCCTCTTCCCTTGATTTCGGATCTATCTGAAAAAAAAAATGTAAGTTTCAAGATATCGAGAACCAAAGAAAATTTGTAATATTGGCAGTGACAATGGCTAAGTTGTGCGAAGCACGTAGAAGCATCTAGTACATGGAAGCTGATAACGATCAAACGATCTGAATTGGTGATAGCAGATAGCATAAACGACAAAGTTTGGTTGTTGACATCCTGATTATCTTTCAAGGAAATAGAATCACAAAACTGTACCATAACTACGATAAATGGGTTGTACTAGATATTTGAACGATACACTGCTCATCAAAGCTCAATAACGGTTTGAATCAATTCTTTTAAAAAAAACCATTTCCCTCACCCTCTTAAAAAAGGAAAAAAAATACTTTTGTGCTTTCTTCATTCATTTGTCCTTCCAAATCGGCAACAGTTGGTACTTCATTTTCGGCAGTAGTTAGCAGAACCCGCTCTGAATGATAATTGAACCTTTTCATCAGGGTGTCTTTTGTTGACGAAGCATACTCCGATAAAGATGATATGTTGTTCTGAAAGTTTATGTTTTTGCAAAAATTTAGAAACAATAAAGTTTTTCATTTATTAGAAGACTTTTGATTATTTCTTGCAGTGATGAACTGAAAACCATAACCTACAATTAAAGGATCATCGTGGATGTACGAAAAATCGAGAGTTTTATGAGCAATCTTCGTATCCAATAGTTTACGCATTTCTGGAATAATTCAACCATGGATGAATTATTTCTGCAATGAAAACGATGGGGCAAAAGATATCAATTTTAAAGTAGGAGTGACAAATACAAAGCGTTACCTGCATTATCAGCTTTAATGCAGTCAGCAAATGGATCGGATGGACTAGGCGCTACCTCACGTTCACGATGAAAGTAATGTGATTGAAAAAACTTGGCCCAGAATTCTTGCTCTGTCATTTCGTGTGGCACAAGTTCCAGATGCTTCCTTTCTACTGAAATTGAATTGAGTTCATTAAAAAATTTTAAACAGCTTAGTGAAATTGAAGAATTTAATGGAGCGTGAAGAACCTGCTGGGTAGGTTCTGAATATACTCTGAATTGTATCAATGTTGAGATTTAATTTGACTCCGTTCGTGCCTTCGGATTGCGCAATGCTGCTTAGGAACCCACTTGAAACACCCAGTTTCCCGCCGTCTGCATCCTTCTGAATTGATTATCACATATATATCTTGGAAAGATAGTAATTCATTCAACAAATGAAAAGTGAGTCATTACTGAGGCTTCCACTATCTCTATTCTAAGAATAATAAAATTTGCAACACGGCCATGTTTTAAAAACAGGAAAGTATTTCTTATGGATATGCATTAGTGCAGGAATATATTGGCAAATTATGTTAAACAAGGCTAATTGAATTAAATGGATCTCAAATGTAAACACACATACAAATATTATTATGATAGAATTTGACTTCCAGCAATATTTCGCTTCAAACTGACATTTTGATAATATTCGCTCCAGAAATCTTGAGCAGATATCAGTTTCGACGCAACCAAATGTTTGTATAGTTCTTGCAAATGTTTGTTGCGTTCTAAAATCTTCTTCTTTGCCTCTAACTCTTTCGTTTTACTGTACTTCAGCGACTGTGTAGCATTCTAAAAGTACCCTTAATAAAGTTCGACAAGCATTAAGCCAACCAGTTAAGAAGTTTCCAGTCCGAAACTTTTTTGGTCAAACATTCGGGAATTTCCAAATGAAAACCTAAAATTTGAAATCTAGCAAAAGAGTTACCTGACTAACGATCTGTCTATGATGTATAAGCGCCTGTTGTAACATTTCTTTTACCAAATCGCGGTCTTTTACATGCATCTGGAACTGATATAAATATGTTCCCATAAATAATATTGAAAATCTCCACATACAAAAGTCCTGCAAATGATTCCAAGTCTATCATGAATAATGACAAAAAAAACTTGCCTCCTTCCCAAGTGGGTTAACGAAAACAAATGTTGCTTGTTCTTCATCATGCTTACATATTTGGAGCTGTGTTTTCGTTTTGTTTGGTGGCGAAATTCGCTGTCCTAAAATCCAGAAAGCATTATGTAAGTGGTGGAAGGGAGAATTCAAATGTTAGGAAATGAAAAGCAAAGTGCAAAAGCAGTAAAATATTTTTGTAAATCTGTGGGAAACAATGCACCTCATACTTTCCAAATTTAGTTTTGAAGAAAATGAAATTACAATCCTTCTTTTAGAAAAGAAAATATATACATATTAAAAAAAAGAACGGCAGAAATTCTAATCTTTCAACGTAGTAACCTGTTCAAATTTCATAACCTATTCCCCCTGACTTGGTCGTTCCATCACTTAGCTTTCTGAACTGAGACTTTCTCTTACCTCTAATATCGCTAAAAAAGACGACAAGCTTCTCGTCCGAAGCATTATCCAGCCACTCAATCCGATCTTCGTAAACATAAAAGGTACCAATAGGCGATTTAGCAGCACCTGGCATACGATATTTCACGTGTTCAACACGCAACAATAATTCCTTGTTAGACATTACTGATGATGTCCTGAAATTACTGTGTAATGAGAAAAATCCATCCAGCTTTTACCACAAGTTCAAAAATTACGTGAATGTAATGACGTTGGATAATACGTATAAACCGCAGAATGTAATTACACGTGTAAGTAAAAAACATTGACGCACGTGAATAGTGTGAAGAGCTGAAAATATAGGAAAAGAGATAATGGAGAAGAACAGACGAAAAAGGGCGAGAAAATACTGTAAGGAAGAAATTGGTGAAATCCAGGAAATAATTTATTTTTCGTGGAGGACCAGAGATCAATAGAAAATCGAAAAAATTACGCTCTAAAACCTTGGAGACTACACAAAGAAAGAAAGTAATGAATCAAATGACAAAAATACACTGTAATAAAAGGAGAGGATAGCATAGCAAGCCATGCGAAACAGTATGTAATCAGGCATCAAAAGTTATATTGAAATATCGTAAGTCAAAACAAAAACATGTGATCATAAATTCAGGTTTCCTTGTGCAGTTTGTAACGGTACAATACAACAACCCACTCAATAACACTGGGTCATTGTGAAAATCTCGATCTCTCGGTTTGTTAGCTTCTCATCAAAATTAAAATTAATTTCCAGTTGTAACAGTTATTTGCTAATTTTTTAAAATTTACTTGTAATAAATTAGAGTAAGTCGGTTTGACTTTTATTTTGTATATATTTATAGATTGAAAACGGTCACTTATCTTGCCTGATCCATTTATTTCGTGCTTTGTTATTTAAATTAGTTGTTGTGGAGATTAATTGATACATTGATATTGGCCTCTTTTCAAGAGCTTTCTATTTGGTATTAATTCTGCTAAATATTCTTTCTGCTAAAAATTCTTTCTAAAAATTTAGTTCGTTTACTCAAATAATGCACTCAGAGTCTAATCTATATATCGGATGTCAGATTAAATCATAACTACAAATATTCAATTAAAAAATTGTATTTCAAAAAGAAAAGAAACTGAAATTACTAGATAATAAATGACAAAAAATGATTTGACAATAGCCGGATTTATCGACAAGAGATATAACCGAGGAATCTTAGTGGTTCTCTGGTTATTATATTACATTACTGGATTGGAATGCTTTAATACAGTTTTTCCTTTAAAGATTCTCATCAATCCTACATGTATTTCGGGGCTTTTTTTTTTTTTTAAATTTAACATTTGAATCCTTTTTGTTATCTTCTTTGTTCAGTTTAGACCGGCAAAAAGGAGTAATTACTCATGAATAAATGAAGTTTAGTTTAGTTATTTCATCTTTTATCACAAAGAGTTCATTTGAATTGTCAAAAAAAGAAAGGTCAAAATCTGACTGAAATTTTATTGAAAAGAAATGATTGCAAAAAAAAAATCTTTCTGGTCAGTTATTCCTGCATTTATTAATGATTGTAAAAGTTGGATTCACATTTCGAGAATCCATTAAATTCTAGAATTTTCGTGGCAGACAGAAAGAGAGGGAGAGAGAGAGAGAGAGAATTCAATAAATAATGTCCTCTAGAAAGCAAAAAATTACGAATGCTCATATACAGTCCGGTGAATCCAATCAAAGCGCATTTGTCAAGGATACAATATTCTCAGCTCATTGCCTTGTATGATGTTTATATATAACACAGAAAGTGCACTGAATATATTTTAGATTTCCATCGAAGAACTATTCTTGTAATCTCTTTGTTACATTTTTTCACGTATTTGTCACCATTTGATTAGCTGTAGGTGACAGAATTCTCGTATACATATGGCTCTTTAATCTTTATTATCTATTCGCCTATTAATTCTCTCGTTAGGTTTATTGATAGAACTTAAACGAACCTTTTAATTGAGATGAGAAAGTTTGAAGCGGAATAGGAAAAATTGTTCTTTGGATCAATTCTTTTCATGCTGCCTCTCATTATATTGGGTTGATAATTCCCTGTTGAGTTTGAAGGATTGTTTGATAACAGATGGAAGTGCTACTAAAAAAGAGTGAAAACTAAGTGCTACCAAAAAAACAGACATTTGCGCTGAAAACTATCTTAGCCACTTGCGTTGAAAACTATCGTTAATTATAAAGCATACTGTTAATTCATTTAATTATCATCCAGGTGGAAAATTCAGCAGACAACATCGAAGCAATGATAAATTTACTTAAATGTAATCAAACATCTGCAACAAATGAAGGAACGATGGATAAATCTGAAGAGAGGTTGGTGCTATTTTCATTTATAAGCCCAAAAATACTGTCCTTTATTGTTTATTACATTTACTATTACGGTATGATAAGATTCAAAATAATGGTTCAGCTTATTGATAGCATGCTTTTTTACTGATAACAAGTTCATTACTTACTCTACTTGTATTCATTCTATTATCATGAAATCTTTCGTTGAAGCAAATCGTATTTATTTTATTCATGCAAAACATAAAAATCATTCATTTATTCATCTATAAGTTTTCTCTTTTCTAATTGAACTTACTCCTTCTTTTGTAAAATCCCTGATAATTAAAATATATTGATTTGTCTCAGTGATATGATATCGAGTATTACTGTCATAATACTGTTAAATTGTCGGTATTATTTTTTCCTCTAGTAAATCAGTGAAGATTGAAGAGAAAAAAGTTGCTAAGATGATATGCTTATCCAGGAAAACATAGCAGAAACTGAAAAAGAAATAATAAAAGATTTGAGATAGTTGTGACTGTCATGCTTTAGCATTGCTATGAAAATGATGACCGTCTCTTCAGAAATCAAAAATTGTCGTTTCTTTCACTTCACCGGATTTCAAAATCTCATTTGCACATTCTTAGATTTTAAATTGGATTTTAAAATAAAGAAAAGATTTGATATTCTCAGATTCTCAGATAAATGAAGAAGTTTTATTACAATCCTTTTGAAATTATAAGAATGGAACAAGAAAATATAACAGATTTAAAAATACTATTCGAAATCAGTTTAATTTAATATTACCTAAATAAATTTTTTCGTTTTTCAGGCTAAATACTGGTATTGAAATAACTGAAAAGGAAAAATCAATTCGTCATCAGAAAACAGCAGTGAATATTCTCTTATTTTTTCCATTTTTTTTTCCAAATTAGAATTTAATTCGTTAGAAAGTTCATGCAATTCCGAATTATTTGTAGCTTTTCAAATTTCTTTTTTTTAAATTCCAGTATTTTTAAATATGTTAAAAATAATATAAACGAAGCTTTAACAAACTTAAGGTAATATAAATCGAAATTAGCTCATATGGTTATGTTTTTGCGAAATATTATTTCAAAAATTTATTTTATATTAGGAATAGATTTTAATTAATGGGTCAAAGCAATCTAATTTTTCTTTTTTTCCCTTAAGTTTTGATAAATATTTACCATCATCCAGTTACAGCTCATCAGTACTCACTTATTTTCCTTAACTTTGGAACATTTAGAACAATGCTTTTTCTGAAAGATCTTTCATATTTCTATCAAAAATTTATAAAATTTTTAAAAAGATTATATTTTTTATTTTTTTTCTTTTGCAAAAATTTTTTTCCTAAGCTTAAAACTTCATTTCAATGAATAAACATGAAATAATTAGAGCAATCTTTTTCTTGAAAAATTATTTCTATCATTTATTTTTATTTCTTGTAATAAATTACTTGTAATTGTTATGGTCTAAAGTCTTAATGAATAGCTGTTAATAAATTAATGAACAATCTCAATACTGCACAATTTATATGAGTGAAACTTTTACTTTATACGATAAAATTCCACATTTAACAAACATCAATTGTAAAATTTCATTATCATTAGTTGATTTTGTTTCTTACCTGATTTTTTTTTTAACCTAATGAAAATCACTAATTAGCAAATTAATCCATTTGTAAATGATGAATTTTTCAAGACCGAACAACAAAATACATTGTCAAGAATGACAAAAATAACTGATGCAAAAGAAATGATATTATCAAATATAAAAGGTATGGTACAATATCTATGCAATAGAAAGAACAATGACTTTTTTTTTTTGGTTCTTTAAATATTTTTTATTAATTTACATAGAAATGTCTGAATAAATATTGTATGGTGTAGATTTATGCTAAGATGACAGACCTATTTATGGATATAAAATATTCTTACAAAATAGTAAGTAGTAAAGGGTTTTTTTTCTTTTTCTACAAAAAAATTGTTCATTTTTTCAAGTCTCTTTTGTTTTTCCATTTCATTGATATAATAATGTTATTCTTAACTTATCATTATATCACTACCTACCTAGTGGATTACAACTAATTAGCTATTTATTTGCATATTAACTATGCTGAAATTGACAGATAAAATTTGCATATCCTACTGATAATTACAATAAAACCAATAATTTTAATAAAATAATGAATAAACGAATAGATAACGATACAATATATTTTATTAATAATTATGTTATATTTATAACTTATAAATAACTATACAAATGATTAATTGATAAATTTGCAGAACCAATACAGATACATTCAATGATAAGCATTAATCAAATACATAAGGATGAAATACATTTGGAATATAAAATTGAACTCTTAGGAAAGGATGGAAAAATTCGAAAGCGTGAACTGACTTTACTACAACCAACAATCATACATTTACAACCAACTAAAGTTAGTTAGAAATTGTTTCATTTAATTTAAAGTTGATAAATGACATGGAAAAAACAAACATTTATTTCAAACGAAACTGTTTGCGAAATGACTCTTTGAACAATAATTTTGACAAAAATTGCGGTGAATTGGTGACAATAATTGACAAATAAAAAATGATAATAAAAAGTTATGGTGATAATAATTTTGACAAAAATTACGATGAATTAACAAAGCTGAGAGTAAGCAAATAGATGGCAATAAATTTGCATGGGATATTTTCAGTGAGTAGAATAAACTTGTCTGTTATTTTGTATAAAAAAAAAGTTTTATCAAATAATATATCATCTATTCAATAATGATAGGTGATAAGAATTCGAAAATTATCAATCTTAGAGTTGAAAGTGATTATGTTACATATTTTACAGAACGATGAGAAATATCATCAACCAAAAAATAAGTTAAGTTTATACGTTTGTGATGGATGTCTACTCCTGATCAGAATGATAAAGTTAACACTGGGTGATAAAAATATCTCCACGGATATTGTACACGAAGAAACTCAAATTTATGGTAGTGGTAATGTTAACATCAACAACGGTATTTTTTATTTTGCTATTTAAAAACTTCTCCCTGAAATATATTTTCTTTAAAAGAAAAAAAAATGTAAATTTAAAGTTTTCACATGAAATCCTTTATTTTAAATCTTTTATCTTTATTGAATTTCCAGAAATATTCAAATTATAAAATGAACATTTTTATTTGAAAAGTAATGGTAAAATTTGTATTACATTTAAATAAATAAAAGCTATAAATAGAAGAATATCTTGTTGACATTATTAATGAAACGTAAATAATTCCAAGATTTGAACAAACATACCAGTGCAACCAGTGCATTATGCATTTCTGTTTGAGTTCCATAATTAGTTCATTGATTTTCATTGTCAACTTATAAATTGATGAAGAAAGCTGATCTAATTTTGATAATTTATTAAAAGACGACTTTTGTTTTAGAACCAAAAGCTCTCAGCAATATAAAGGAAAGAAGTAAAACAAACGAGGTTTGGAAATTTTGTGATCCAACTTCCGCAAAATGCTTTAATAAGATAATACTTACAAAAAATGGGAATTATAAATTAATGGATTTGATCGAATTAAGATGCAAAGAAAGTAGCAAAAAGCCAAATAAAGTAAGCTTTTTTATCAATAAAATTAGCAAATTAGAATAACTTTATTCTTCTTAATACATTCATACTATTTTTTCGTGCAATTTTCCAAATTTTAAACATTCTTAATTTAATTTAATTTTCAATTGTTAGAAGAAAAATGGGACATTTTATTGAATGAAAAAATAAAAAATTATTTCCTTTAAATTATTTTCGGTATTACAAAACCTACTGCAAAGTTAGAGTATGGTATGGCTATGATAGTAGAAATGCAAAAAATAGATGTATGCAGAAGAATGAAATCAGAAAAATACTTGTCAGAAATTAATTCCAACTTCTGATGAACACCACAACAAGAAAAACATGAAGTCAAATGAAGGTGAAATTTGCGACTTCAATCAGTTAATTGGTTATGGTGAAGGATTGCTAACCATCGAAACTGCTTTGGAATTGTCGACAGTAACGAAATTAAAGGTTTTTAATTACCAAATAGCATAGGGAATTTAATTACACAATTTTAATTTAACTATAATGTAATGACAACTTCATTATATGAAGAAATTGGAAAAGGTCTTTAAATTCTGCCTTCCATTCGAATTACATACTTTGAATTCAGGTAGTAGATTTCATTTCCAAATATAAATATTACTGTTATATATGAGGCTATTGGAAAAGTTCATAATGTTTAAATTTCTGTATTTTTTCCGGATAAATTATATAAATGGTATGAAGCACGAGATTATACCACTGCTAATTGTGAAAGCTATCCTGGATCTATATTATCCAGGTTTATCTTTTCAAATTTCATTTCAATTTCCAAGTAAAAATATCACTTTAAGAAATGTGGTACCAACTGATATAGTCCATCATCTCGAAATTTGTTTTTCTAATTAATCTTCTCATTTTAATAATCTTAGTTATTTCAGTGTTTGAATTATACCTGGTAAGAATAATTTCATTTGTTTGTAATCTGTAACTAATTAGCTAATTTTTAATATTGAAAGCTATGAAAAACTAAAGTATCCTTCAAATTTTTCGATATTTTCCCATTACGATAAGGATACTATAGTATTTTATTGGAAGAAAGAATTTAAGTTTGATCTTTTACATTTTTTAATTTGCCGAAGAAAAGTTAATGTAGTACAGCTTATGTCTCATTATCGTAATCAATTGTCATACTGTACATCTTTCCGTTTGTCAACTTTTATCATTAAACAATTCTTTTTTTTTTTTAATCTAACTTCATCTAAAAATAAAATTCAAATTAGCAAAGATGTTCGTTATTTTCGGACATAAAAATAGCAAATTAGATTTGAAAGAATTACTGTACACTAAATTTTTAGTTATTATCCATCATCACGATTGTCAAGAGAACAACCAAAAGTTACAGAAGTAAAACAAATAAATATGAAAATTTCCAAACGAGATGATAAATCCCCTCCGAATTCTGGTTCGAAATGTTTATTCTCTAATAAAGATTTGAAAGTAATTCAGTAGCCAAAGAAAAATGATCAGATTCAAACTTAGGCCACTCTATGATAATGATGATAATCTTAACAATAATAGTAATTATTATTATTACTTTTATTAATAATAATGAATAAAAAAATCTCGAAATCTTCGAAAACGCATTTCAACTTTCATTCATTTCCATTATGGTTTTATATAAAAATTGTTTATAAAAAAATTATTATTTCATAGCAATTGCAATTGTTTTTTCTTGTGGTCAACAAATTTATATTTATAAGAATCAAATGAATACAATAGAAATGATTGTTTTATAAAATGATTTCATTTTTTAACCGATTTTTAAAATCCAATTCTTCAAATTTTATCATCTTATTAATTTGCAGGATTGAGTGATACATCAGCTGGTGGTGGTAGCGAATCAGAAAATGGTAAATATTCCATAATCAAAAAAAGTTATAATCACTAATAGTGTTATCATTTATCATGAATAATGTTGCAGATCATTTACGATATCATTCTGCTAGTCATAATTCCAGGTGAGTGCTTTTACTTTTAATGTTTTGTTTTTTATTTTAAGTTATACTTCTTAGTATCAAATATGTATTAATTTCGATTTAAACTAATCAAGTTATTTATAAGGATCAATTTTGATTTTAATAGTAATAAAGATATTCATGAAAGTTCGCCACCCACTGCTGTTTGTAAAGTTTCATTGGCAAATACTACTGCTTCACTTACAAATGGTAGGTTTGTATGTTAGAATCATTTTTTAATTTATAGAAAATATAACGATTCAAATTTGCAAAGCCTTTAGACATTCTTTACTCTTCAAAGGCCTTATTACTTTATTGATGTATTGTTTGTGTATTTGTGAAATAAATGTATTTTATGATTTAAATTTTATAATTCATGAAAAATTTGTGTAAATCATATCAGTTTGTAGGATATAATTTCTTTTGTTATGATTTTTAGAATTAATATATTCTCATTCTTCGTATTTCAAACTTTTACTCACTACCATTTACATAAATTTTTTCGACATTTTCATAAAAAAAGTTTCTTTTTCATCTTTGAAATTACGAATTTTTTTCAGATAAAAAAAAGGTTCTATTTTTTTTTAGATTTGCATCATTCGCATGGATATTCGGATGACATCTGTTGCCCAAAATCAGCTAACATCTGGAGGAAATCATCTGGAGTTTTACTACCACCGAAGCTGTCAGACATTACGTATTTTTTTTTATAAAGTTTATATTTGTATAATCAACGGATACTATACGATCATATCATTGAATTGAGAGCTAAAATGAAATGTGTTTTTTTTTTCGAAATCAAGTGAAAATGCGATAAAAGTTAAGAATTCGTTTACATATATATATTAAATATTTAATGGAAAATTCCATCCTAGAATGTATAAATATTTTTCATGAAAGTTTTTAAGAACGATCATCGAATTTCATTTTTGAAATTTTCAATAAATTTGAGCATTTCAAATTTAAAATTGAAATTGAATTTGATCATTATCGATCATGTTGCATATTTTAGGACAACAAAAAAATCAAAACCAGAATCACATAAACCGGTATCATTTCGCTCTCCAAGGCGTATTTTTTATGCATCAAATGAAAGATTAAATTTTAGCGCAGAAATGATTGCACCAAATGCGCCATCAGTGAGTTTTACGAAAATAATGAATCCATTGAAATATTAAATTTTACACAGTAATCTAAAACATAATAATTGATAATACGAATTAATGATTAATTTTTCCTTTTACTAAAAACATTGTTTACCTGTCATTATAATTAGTTGTCATCAAATGCTTAATTTCATAAATTATTTCCTTCCTATATTTTGCAGATGGCGAAAGCAGAATCTGAAAATGATGCAAATAAAATCACCATTTTCTTATCCGATAAGCATGGATTAAATGTAGTTTATTAATTACTGTCATTTAAATGTGACTCATAATTTAAGCACCTATTTCATTCCTACAATTTGTGTCACATAGATTAGCAAGCATACTGTCTTATTTGAATTCTTCCTTGCTTATTTTATCCCTTAGCAGAACAAAATAATGATAGGCATGATGATATCATTAAAAGAATAGTTTGCGAATTATCCGTTCGATATTATCAATCTATATCATTTATAGATGGCTATAACAGTGGATGTTGGTATAAAGCTTATCAATGAAGATGGTTCAAAAAGACGAATGAAATGTATTAAAAATCAAAAAATTTGTATTGATGATCAAGTTGTTTATGAAGATTGACCTTTCTCAAAATTTTTAAATTCCATAATTTCTTTTTTTTTGAAAAACAAAAATTAAATTTTGATTTCGAAAAAAACAAAGAAAGTAAGTAACAATCTAACTGCTAACCAAGCACTAATGGAAAATATTTAAAGATGATAAAAAAAAAAACTCTTACCACTTTATTTACTTAAAAATATTATCCCATTAAGAGAATTTTTAAAATTTCACTTTAAATATAATCAAATGTAATCAAGTCCATTTACAAAGTTCATTTGATAAACTATTTCTAAGGTCAACCTTATGTTTCAATCACTGATAATGTTACTGTAAAATTTAGTCTGATAAAAATTTATGAAATTCATATTACTCATTAATGCAATGGGTACTATTCAATGTATTTATGGTAATATTTGCGATATTTGTATTGATTATAGAAAAGGACGACATTTTGTACACTCTTCAATTGATATTAATCATTCACATTCATGCTGTTATTTTCTTTCTTGTTGCATTCAACTACTCTTCCTATTTCCAGTTCGTTGCTCTATTTATACTATTTGTACTTATTTACTTATTTACCTAACAAATTAATTAAATTTTTGCACGTAATTCTTAAATGAATTAATCTAAAATTTCATCAATATTATTATCAATTAGAAGCTTTTTGAGCATTCTTTCATATTATTTGTTAAAAAAAAAAAGATGACAATTTGAATTATTAACAATAAATTTTATATTTCTTTATCCATTCTATTCAATAAACTTTAAAAGTAAATTTCAGAAATGAATTTTTTAAAGTTCTCATTCAATTTATTTTGGTAACATATTTGAATGAATACAAATCATTTTGCATATTACTTAAAAATAAAATTTTTTTCTGACAATTTGATCAATTTAGAACAAAATATATGGTTATCTTTTATCGGTGTAAGAGAAATAGAGGAATTTTCATTTTAATTTTTTTTTTTCATTTTGTTTGTATGTATACGCATACACCTGTATTTTACACCTGTCCATTTCAAAATTTATAGTAATGCTGAAAATTGTTGAAAAAAATTTCTTCTCCCGCCAAATTTTATGTTCAAGTTTTAAAATTATGTTCATTTTATGTTCAAGTTTTTTTTTTTTAATTTACACACTATGTTTATCAGTTTTTGAAATAAAGAATTTTTATTTAAAATAATTTTTTACTTTTGTCATTTATTATATTTTCTAATAATTTAATTTAATGGAAATTCTATTAAAGACATTATTTTCAATTTTAGTTTCTAAATCAAATTTGAAAAAAAAAATTATTTCCACTAATAATATCTTATAGAGAGTGAATTTTTGTCATGTTTTGAAATTGAAAATTTTCTTGTTCTGTATGTATTTCTAGAATTATTTCATTTTATGATTTTTAATAAAATTGGCTCAGCGTAGATAGGATTTGTCATCTGACCAATGTTGTTGATATATGCGGTAAAATAAAGTCAATTTCTCCATTTAGGAATCATATTTGTTGATTTGCTGCAGGTGGTGCTTATGTCTATCGTTCCATCTGTGGTCTTGCCCAAATTTACAACCGTAAATTATAAATCAATCATATCTTTTATTCCTCTCATTTTACCACAATGTTTATTTCTAGTTACTTTTGCAAATTGCATTTTACCATTATGAATTTTATT